GGAGTGTGAACATTCAGTTCTATGGACAAGCAAAGGTTTTAACTTTCACGCACTTTAAGTCCACGTCATCAGATCAACGCTTTCAAATGAAAACAGAAATGGATAGAAACTAATCACAAAAAATGTTCACGACAGCAAATAATAAGAATATATATACATTTTTTTTTGGTATGAAGAATATATATACATATTCGTTAATGGTTAGTGACGAATATATAAAATGAAGTGAAAAGAAAATTTCGTAAAGTGATTAAAATATAAGATGATGCATAGACATATACATGGTTCATAATTAGGAGGCGACATGCAGGCCGGTGTTTATAGGATTAGGTGCATTCATCGGTGGCATGTTAGGCTAAAACAATTGTAAGCATAGTCTTTGTTAATGTGAAGAGACAACACCACGACTTTTTATTTATTTATTCTTCTTCTTTTAATAATAAGTAATAACTGAATAAATATTTTTATATTATAGAGTTGATGAGAGCTAGTGACCAATTGGGTGGGTATCTTGAGAGTTGAAACAGTTGCCGGTAAAATGGGCTTACTAATATAAACAACTTAGAACACATTAAAATATATATTTTCAAAAAAAAAAAAACAATTTAACATATAATAAAATTGAAACTTCAAAAGAAAACTCGATTATTCCAGTATTTGCAACAAATAATCAAATTTATAGAGTTTTGAATGAACTAGTACTGTATGTGTTGGAAAAAAAACGGATTACAAAAATATAAATTAAGGAAAATATTAAATGATTTAAAATAAAATATTCAAAGTCGAGATATAATTTATTCATAAAATCTTCCGTAGTGTGGCGAATCTGTGAGATTATGAATCTCATAATTCAACTATGTGAGACTATAGTCGCGGCATTCAATTATATGATCTATACTAAGAATCTACACTATAATCTCGAAAATTTACTGAGAAAAGACAGGGGTTGCTGAAGTTTTTCTTTCTAAATGTTTATGGTTCCTAAAAATCTATCAATGTGCTGGAAAATTACAAATAGTTAGAATTAACTTTATGTGCTCACTAGGACACACTTTTTTGTGTGTTTCGCAAGTTTATTTATAGAAATGTTTTATATAAGTGACTTTAGTGTTAAATATAATAATGTAAGATTTTTCGTGTATGGGGCAAGTGACATTACATGATCTTGTATATAATATGTCGATAAGTTTACAAAACATCCCAAAAAAATGATTCTATCGAGAGATTTTAAAGTAAGAAATGTCGCAGCATATATAATTCTTTTCAATACAAAAGGCTATTGTATTTTCCGATTCATCTGTAAAATAACTTAACTAACTGGTTGTTTGTTTTCATTCTTTAGTATAGAAAATTTATTTAAGTTTGCATTCTATTAATAGATCGCTTAATAAGAGGCAGGAACATAATTAATTAGTTTTAGATACCACATAATAATTTTTAACTTGAGTAGGTTAAATGATTCATTCTAGAAAAACTATACACCTTTGTTTTGTCAACATACCTTTTAAGTCTCACAAGGGGAAATTAAGCTTTGCAGCTATACATAGCATAAGCTTCGGCCACAGCTCCTAAATTACTAGCCCAGAAAATCCATGAAAAAGAAAAACACTAGCTAATTCA